AAAATATCAAAGAATCATCCAGTTGACAGGTTTCAGGGTCAAAGGAATACACTTGAATGTATTGCTTAAAACCATGCTGCCCTATTCAAAGGAGATATGCTGAAATCTGGTGAATGGAATCAAATACACAAAAAACCACCTGCTGAGAAAGAGAAGAGTTTGTATTCAGCTTTTAGTTAAGTTCCATGAGAAAACACAGGAGATGAAACTTGAGTTGAGATATATTACATCCTTATAAAATGTGTATTTCAAGTAGGACAGAAGTAGAACATCCCTTTGTTAAGTGTTTGATGTATCTTGCAGTTGGGATTGTCTGTGACCTGTTGGGAAAAGGTTTATTTCACAGCAAATAAAACAGACACAAACTAAACCAGTTCTTATTAAAAGAAAAAGCTACTGTCAGCAGCAGATGCTTAGTTAGAAGTGCTCAGAATTCTTTACCAGCCACAAAAGGAAACAGGAAAGATTATCCAAGAGAAAAAAAGAAGGGGAGGAAGAGGAACATATATATAAATAAATAAGAAAAGTCATTCAGTTTTGCTGCTTGGAACAAGGCATCAGCCTATAATTAAGTACAGTAGAAGGTATTTTTCTGCAAAAGTAATACTTCTTCCCAGAGTATTCTAAAAGCATCTAGAACGGGAGTTGTAGTTGAGTTCAGCATTAAGGTTTTCTCTTATACCAATGTATTTCTAATTGACTCTACTTATAATATCTTGTTTTGTTTAAGCAAAAAAAAAAAAAAAAAAAAAAAAATCCCCTTTCCTTCTGAGCTACTTTGATATTTTACAGGATTGAAGCCATGATGACAAGGAGGACTGTGACAGTCCTAGATTTCAACATGGTCTTCCTATCAGCTAGTTTTCTACAAAAATCACTTGAGAGTATTCCCAAAATAAGCAGTCATAAATTATCTGGGCTCTGGTAAAATCTTATCCAAAAATAAGTTCTGTGCCTGCTGAAGGTGCCACAACAAAAAAAAGCTCCACTGTTTACCACCTTAATCCTTACAGTCTGGAGATGAGTGGTTATTCTACCCAAAGAATTAAAAAAAACCAAAAAAACCCAACCAAACACACAAAAACAAAAAAAAACCAAACAAACACACAAAAACCCACAGCAAAACCACCAACACTGCCTCCCAAACTCACCTCTTTATATCCCAAAATTCCACTTTGAGGCTCATTTTTTATACCACTCCTAAAAATCTGCTGCTTAGAACCATATAAATCTATAACAAACATACAGAAATGCCAACACACGTACAACAGCTCTACTGAAAAACAGTCTCCTTTTTATTTCTTCTTTTTCACTTGTTAGTAAACATGCATGCCCCAATATTCATGTCAGATTAATTTGATTACTATCAAATTTCTTCATTAAAAAAGGCCAGCAATGTGTTTAGTCATTCAAGTCTTTCTTAGATCATACAGAAGCTTTACCACCCTTCCTATCTGAAGACAAATCATCAGTGAATTTTACTGTACAACAGTAAAGAAAAATTAGACTAAGAATGTCAGTCACTATGATCTCAGGGACTTAAAATTGAGACAGCCTAACCTGAATAGCCAGAGATGCAAAAGCTTCTTTCATCTTAGGCTGCTACACTTGCTGTTCTTGAGGAACAGTACTTTTTGGATAACAGACAACTTTTTTTGTTCACCAGGCTGTTGATGTAAAAGCCAAGAAAACTTCATGCAGCATTAGAGATACCCTGATGGAGAGCACAGCTAAAAAACAACACACACACAAATAAAAAGAGCAAGACCACAAAGCAAGTTCTGACCACTGGGTGTATTCACAGCCCTTCACAGATCTAATATGCCTAGTATATATTTCTGATCACTCCTATATATGTCATATAAATATACTGTCAGGGAAAAAGGAAGTCAAGTTCCTTTCATAATACAAGAAGCTAAAGAAGAAAATTAGTATTATTTTAGTAATGATGAGACACAATTTAGTCAGGTGTTTAGAGGCTGAAGGTTTTGTTAGCATGAGTCAGATACAATTCAGAGGCAAAGCCTTGTTAGTAGTAAGACTAAGCAAACTCAAAAATCCAACCAAAACTCTTATTGTGGCATTTGCTAAGAAAAACACCACAATTTTAAACTCAAGTAGAACAGCCTTTGTTGATGCCTTTAGGTTTTTCTTTCCTCCCATTTTTGTAGATGGAAATATGCTCCAGTGTTCCTTGAAGACACAATATTTCATCCTATTTAATTAAGAATTAATTGCAGGATTCACAACAGATGGGTAAGTCATCTACAGCAGCATTAAGAATAATTAAAGTGTATGGAAGGAGGAGGATAGTGGAAGGAAGGCCAGCAGCAGGTGACAGGCTTTTTGCAAGGATCAGGAAACAGAAAAATGGTGAAAATCACATTTTAGAGAGCTGACACTGATGGTGAAAACCTGTATCATACAGCAGCTCTCTGCAAAAGTGCAGAAAGCTTTAGAAGCTCCCAGAGGCCTGCAAATGTAGTAGAGCACTGAGCAGCTGCTGCTGAAAACCAACAGATCCAACCAAAATTCTGTCAGTCAGGCAAAACCTGAAACAGGAGGGATAGACTACTCAAGCAATTTTCATCTTCTGTTCCCCTTCTTTATACAGACAGTTGTATTACACATATGAGAGAGGGACTTGCACTTAAAAGATAAACACACACACCCCACTGCTTTTGGGAACTAAAAATCAAAGTTACATTTAGAGGGATTGCTTCTTAAACTATTAAAATCTGAAAACCAATTTATAAACATTCCAAAGAACTTTCCAATAGATAAACCCACCATTTTAATAAAACTCATTTGTACCCTAGCTGGTTTCTTCAAAGTTAGTGTAAAATTAAACTGCACACAAAGACTACTTTTTGGTATTTTAATATGGATGAAAATGATATTTTTGAATCCTCTTAGTAT